AAATGTATGGCGCACTTTTTTATTGGTCCAGCGGATGCTGAGCTACAATCAGATAAATTTTTTAAAAAATTTTGAAAAATTAAATTTGCGATAAAAATGATCGGGAATACCGCCAAAGTCTTAACCCGGGAGTCGCGAACAAAAAATGTATGGCGCACTTTTTGATTGGTCCAGCGGATGCTGAGGTACACCCAGATAAATTTTTTTAAAAATTTCGAAAAATTAAATTTGCGAGATAATTAATCGGGAATACCGCCAAATTCTTAACCCGGGAGTCTCGAACAAAAAATGTATGGCTCACTTTTTGATTGGTCCAGCGGATGCTGAGCTACACTCAGATAAATTTTTTAAAAAATTTTGAAAAATTAAATTTGCGATAAAAATGATCGGGAATACCGCCAAAGTCTTAACCCGGGAGTCTCGAACAAAAAATGTATGGCGCACCTTTCGAATGGTCCAGCGGATGCTGAGCTACACTCAGATAAATTTTTTAAAAAATTTTGAAAAATTAAATTTGCGAGATAATTAATCGGGAATACCGCCAACATCTTAACCCGGGAGTCTCAAACAAAAAATGTATGGCGCACTTTTTGATTGGTCCAGCGGATGCTGAGCTATACTCAGATAAATTTTTTAAAAAATTTTGAAAAATTAAATTTGCGATAAAAATGATCGAAAATACCGCCAAAGTCTTAACCCGGGAGTCTCGAACCAAAAAAGTATGGCGCACTTTTTGATTGGTCCAGCGGATGCTGAGCTACACTCAGATAAATTTTTTAAAAAATTTTTAAAAAATTAAATTTGCTATAAAAATGATCGTGAATACCTCCAAAGTCTTAACCCGGGAGTCTCAAACAAAAAATGTATGGCGCACTTTTTGATTGGTCCAGCGGATGCTGAGCTACAATCAGATAAATTTTTTTAAAAATTTTGAAAAATTAAATTTGCGAGATAATTAATCGGGAATACCGCCAAATTCTTAACCCGGGAGTCTCGAACAAAAAATGTATAGCGCACTTTTTGATTGGTCCAGCGGATGCTGAGATAAACTCAGATAAATTTTTTAAAAAATTAAATTTGCGATAAAAATGATCGGGAATACCGCCAAAGTCTTAACCCGGGAGTCTAGAACAAAAAATGTATGGCGCACTTTTTGATTGGTCCAGCGGATGCTGAGCTACAATCAGATAAATTTTTTTAAAAATTTTGAAAAATTAAATTTGCGATATAAATAATCGGGAATACCGCCAAAGTCTTAACCCGGGAGTCTCGAACAAAAAATGTATGGCTCACTTTTTGATTGGTCCAGCGGATGCTGAGCTACACTCAGATAAATTTTTTAAAAAATTTTGAAAAATTAAATTTGCGATAAAAATGATCGGGAATACCGCCAAAGTCTTAACCCGGGAGTCTCGAACAAAAAATGTATGGCGCACCTTTTGATTGGTCCAGCGGATGCTGAGCTACACTCAGATAAATTTTTTAAAAAATTTTGAAAAATTAAATTTGCGAGATAATTAATCGGGAATACCGCCAACATCTTAACCCGGGAGTCTCAAACAAAAAATGTATGGCGCACTTTTTGATTGGTCCAGCGGATGCTGAGCTATACTCAGATAAATTTTTTAAAAAATTTTGAAAAATTAAATTTGCGATAAAAATGATCGAAAATACCGCCAAAGTCTTAACCCGGGAGTCTCGAACCAAAAAAGTATGGCGCACTTTTTGATTGGTCCAGCGGATGCTGAGCTACACTCAGATAAATTTTTTAAAAAATTTTTAAAAAATTAAATTTGCGATAAAAATGATCGGGAATACCGCCAAAGTCTTAACCCGGGAGTCTAGAACAAAAAATGTATGGCGCACTTTTTGATTGGTCCAGCGGATGCTGAGCTACAATCAGATAAATTTTTTAAAAAATTTTGAAAAATTAAATTTGCGATAAAAATGATCGGGAATACCGCCAAAGTCTTAACCCGGGAGTCGCGAACAAAAAATGTATGGCTCACTTTTTGATTGGTCCAGCGGATGCTGAGCTACACTCAGATAAATTTTTTAAAAAATTTTGAAAAATTAAATTTGCGATAAAAATGATCGGGAATACCGCCAAAGTCTTAACCCGGGAGTCTCGAACAAAAAATGTATGGCGCACCTTTTGATTGGTCCAGCGGATGCTGAGCTACACTCAGATAAATTTTTTAAAAAATTTTGAAAAATTAAATTTGCGAGATAATTAATCGGGAATACCGCCAACATCTTAACCCGGGAGTCTCAAACAAAAAATGTATGGCGCACTTTTTGATTGGTCCAGCGGATGCTGAGCTACAATCAGATAAATTTTTTAAAAAATTTTGAAAAATTAAATTTGCGATAAAAATGATCGGGAATACCGCCAAAGTCTTAACCCGGGAGTCGCGAACAAAAAATGTATGGCGCACTTTTTGATTGGTCCAGCGGATGCTGAGGTACACCCAGATAAATTTTTTTAAAAATTTCGAAAAATTAAATTTGCGAGATAATTAATCGGGAATACCGCCAAATTCTTAACCCGGGAGTCGCGAACAAAAAATGTATGGCGCACTTTTTGATTGGTCCAGCGGATGCTGAGCTACACTCAGATAAATTTTTTAAAAAATTTTGAAAAATTAAATTTGCGAGATAATTAATCGGGAATACCGCCAAAATCTTAACCCGAGAGTTTCGAACAAAATATATTTTCTTTCAACAAATGAAAAAGTAAGCTTGAGTGAATGGTTAATTGGTATTGATTATTTAATTAATTTTCGCAAAGTTTTTTTATATAGTGATCCAGATGAAAATCAAAAAATATTTTACAAATTGACACTGACTATGATAATGTTAAAATACCAATTCAATAAGTTTAAAAATTATATTTTTATTATTTTTTGTAATTATTTATTGTAATAAAAAACATTTTTAAATATATGTTTTTTTACAAAATATAAATATGTGTCATATTTAAATATAAAGTTTAAAATTATCTTTTGTTATCATGATAAAAATAACTTAACAAGTATCATATCAGATAAATGAAATAAAGCTTTACTAAGTAGTCAAATTTCTAACTATAAATATATTAGGGTTTAATTCACTATAATTTTTCTCTCCATGTAAAATATAAGCTTTATTGATTTTTCAAACTTAGGAGTTATTTAATAATTATTAATAAATAATATTATTTAACAATTAATTAATTTTATTTTTATAATGACAGTATATTAATTTTATATTAAGTATATAAAAGATTCACCTCAGGATTAGGTTGATTAAAACTGAATTTTAACTATATTGTTCCCAGCTTGAAGAAGTTCACTGTTATAGAAAAAATTGATACTGTTGTCCCAAAATGTCCAACATATTCTGGTCGAAAAATATTTATGAAATTATATTTTTGTGTCACTGAATTAAAGAGAAAAAATAAATTTTCTTCGTGAATTTTTATTGTAATTTTTTATTGTAATTATATTTTATAATATTTAAAAATATTTTTTTTTTATTTATTATAAATAATTATTTAATTACTACTTAAACAAATATCATTAACACCTGTAGTGTGCAAATATTAATATAAAAGAATTTAGGTATTTTATATTTTAAATAGAAAATTTCATTGATGTATTTTAGTCTTTTGAAATTAAGCCTGTTGAAGGTTGTTTTTTTCTGACAATATTGATAATTAATTGATTAATAATTTTTTAAATAAAACTACAATTAGGAATTTTTAATTATATATGTTATATGTTATTACATATTATTATAATATTAATTATATATATATATATATATATATATATATATATATATATATATATACACTACCGTCGGAAATTGTCGGTACGGCTAACGTGCGAGGAGTAGATATTTGGTGCTGACTTTAAAGCAAGATATTTTAAGTTAGAAAAAAGATAGGGATTTTTTACTTAGATGGTTGGAAAGCTGATAAAATTCTGCTTCTCAATGTATATCAAGAAAATTTTTTTCTTTTTTTTTGGTATTTATTACACCGAAAAGATTTTAACAAAAAATTATGCAATTTTTTACTTTCGTACTAATGTTTTTTGACTCTCGGTATAATCTAGAATAATGCATGGAAAAATTTGACAATTTTACAACATAATCTTTAGGGTCTTAGCTTTAATTTGCATTTTTAAAACTTAAAAAATGTTTTGTGGTTCATGAAATATGTTAAAAAAAGTCCGAGCATGTTTTCCTACAACTCAGCCGTCAATCATCACTTTTCGCCGCCTCGCTGCTGGATTGTAGAAAAACATTCTCGAACATTTTTAAACATATTTCAGGAACTACAAAACACTTTTGAACTTTTAAAAAAGCAAATTAAAGCGGTGTAATAAATACCAAAAAAAAAAAAAGAAAAAAAATTTCTTGATATACATTGAGAAGCAGAATTTTATCAACTTTCCAACCATCTAAGTTGGATGTCTCGATCTTTTTCTAACTTAAAATATCTTGCTTTAAAGTCAGCACCAAATTTCTACTCCTCGCACGTTAGCCGTACCGACAATTTCCGACGGTAGTGTATATATATATTATTTTTTTTAATAGTTATATATTATTATTATATATTTAAATTCCTCGAAATTTTATTATTTTACATTGAATATTTTTTTATACATTTTTTCATGATTCTAAAATAAACAACATTAATTTTAATAAATTAAAATTTTACTGGTCCCTTCCCTTAAAAAGGTACTACTATACCAAAGGACTTGTCCTTTGAACTTATTAAATAAATAAGAATAATAAAAATAATTGACAAGGACTGATTTAGTATGTAAATTTATAAAATCATATATTTCCTGTTTCTGTTGTCATTAAAAATAATAAATATTTTTTTAATATTTATTGACTATATATACAACAGTAAATTTTAACTTAATGCAAAATAAATTAATGCACTTATTGGAAATATATGATTTTTATAATAAAAATTTTTTAATCATGCATAAATGTAAATTTACCTTTGAAAATGGAGCTTTGTATAAATTTTTTGATGTTAATCCCTTGTCCCAGTATCAGCAGTGACTCGTCCACTGATTCGGAAGTACAGTTTTAGCCAAAATCTAAAAAAAAATTTTCATTTTCAAAATAGGGATATATAAAAAATTAAGAACATAATATAACTTTTGTTTAACTATGTAATAAATTTACAATATAAGGATTTAATTTAAACTTTATTTTTCTTGTAAATAAATAGTAAAAAAAAACTTTTTATTTAAAATCTTAACGTAATTAAATATGTTATTGAAAAATAATGAAAGCCAAAAATATATTGTTAAAATTATTTATTATTTTTGAGTATTTGCTTATATATTTTTGTAAATTTAATAATTATTTATATTAGCAAGGAACAGAAAACAAAATTTTTTTAAAATTTTATATAAAATTATTAATAACGTTTTTAATAAATTTATATAAAACTTATAATTATAATTATATAATTATAATGCAAATTTTTGAAATTAAATAAAAAAATAAAAAATTTTAGAATTAAAAAAATAATTTTTTGCATTAAATAATAAAAAATAAATTAAATAAATAAAAAATTTTTAATTTAAATAAATAGGTAATTTATTTCGTAAATAATAAAAAAATTAATTAAATTAAATAAATAAAAAATTTTTTAATTAAATAAGTAATTTATTTCATTAAATAATAAAAAATAAATTAAATAAATTCAATATGTAATTTATATTTTATAAAAATTTGCATAATAAAATTAGAAAATATTAGAAATGTACTATATAGTGTTCGTATAGCGATATACGTATATTGGAAAGTATATATATATACTATATATAGGTTCAAATTAATATTTGAATTTGGAAGAAATATTATTTAACGTAATTATATTTGGTTAATTTTCAAGTTAAATGTAATTGCTCGAGTTAAATGTTCTCCACCTTTAAGGTGTTTATAAACACTCTCATTGTCTGTGACCTGATAAAGTTACTTTTTCTATTTGACTAATTGTTAGAAAAATTTTCAAGGTCTTTAGAAATATAATGCATAAAATTAAGAGAATGAAAAAATTTTAAAAAATTCAGAAATATTTTAAAATTATGAATAATGATTATAGTATATTAATTAAATATTCATTTTTTCATAATTATTTTAATTTTTATATTTTATAAATTTATTTTATTTTTCTATTTAATTTTAATTTTAATTTTAATTTTTAATTTTATCAATTTTCTAAAAACTTATTGAATTTATTTAAAATTACATTGATTAAAGAATTTATATATTTCTTTTGTGAAAAATCCAAAAATTTATAAAAATAAAAAAATTCTCGTAAATTGTATATAAAAAAAAGAAATTTTTCTAATAATATTTAAAAATTTAATTATTTAAAAGAAAAAATAATTAAAATTCTCTAAATTTTTTTTAATAGTAAAATTTTCTAAAAATTTATTGAATTTATTTAAAATTACATTAATTAAAGAATTCATATCTATTTCTTTTGTGAAAAATCCAAAAATTTAGAAAAATAAAAAAATTCTCGTAAATTGTATAGAAAAAAGAAATTTTTATAATAAAAATTAAAAATTAATTATTTAAAAGAAAAAATAATTAAAATTCTCTAAATTTTTTTTAATAGTAAAATTTTCTAATAACTTATTGAATTTACTTAAAATTACATTAATTAAAGAATTTATATATTTCTTTTGTGAAACATTCAAAAATTTAGAAAAATAAAAAAATTCTTGTAAATTGTATAAAAAAAAGAAATTTTTCTAATAATTAAAAATTTAATTATTTAAAAGAAAAAATAATTAAAATTCTCTAAATTTTTTTTAATAGTAAAATTTTCTAAAAATTTATTGAATTTATTTAAAATTACATTAATTAAAGAATTTATATCTATTTCTTTTGTGAAAAATCCAAAAATTTATAAAAATAAAAAAATTCTCGTAAATTGTATATAAAAAAAAAGGAAATTTTTCTAATAATATTTAAAAATTTAATTATTTAAAAGAAAAAATAATTAAAATTCTCTAAACTTTTTTTTAATAGTAAAATTTTCTAAAAATTTATTGAATTTATTTAAAATTACATTAATTAAAGAATTTATATATTTCTTTTGTGAAATATCCAAAAATTTATAAAAATAAAAAAATTCTTGTAAATTGTATAAAAAAAATCTTTATAATAATAATTAAAAATTTAATTATTTAACAGAAAAAAATATTTTAAATTGTCTAAATTTTTTTTAACAGTAAAATAAATATAATTTAGATTTTATCATTTACGAATAATTTTGATATACTAAAAGTTACAATTTTTTTTTTTTAAATAAATTAATTTTTCCAATCAAATAAAAAATTTTATCTTTATTTTAAAATAATAGTTTAAATTTTGAAATCCCTTACATGAATATAAATAATTTTAAATTTAATAAAAAAAAAAAATTATTTTTTTTTTTACAAAAAGGAAAATTTATTTTTGGTTAATTTATTTTTTTTTAATATTTAAATATTAGAATGAAATAAAAAGTGACTGGAAATATTAAAAAAAAAAAAAAAAAATTTGAAAATCGAAAATTTTTCTTTCTTGATAATATTAAATAAAAATTATTTTTAAAAAACTTAACAAGTTACAAATTTTATAATTCTTCAAAAAAATAATGAATATAATATTTAAACACGTTTTTAAATATTTGAAATTTGAATGAAAAAAAAATCTATTAAATATTATAATTTTTAAATTCTTTTTTTTTTATAGAAATTTATAAAAATTTAGAAAATTAATTAATTTTTATTTATTTAAATAATATTACTTACTTTTTACAATGAAATTGTTTTATAGGTAGTCCGTTGATTGATCTATGGTTTTGCACTTTTGAAAAATAGCACTGATCGAATATTTAAGAGATTCTCAAATTTTTTTCTAATCACAGTATGAAGATTCAATTTACAGTGACAAGCGTCTTCTAATTATAAATTAATATAGGGTACTTACAATTTTTCTCCCCACTACTTACCCTTAAATTTGACCAATAAAAATGAAGAAATCGATTTTCCCTCTTGCGATCCTAATTGATCAATTTCAAAAATCAATTTTCGTAAATGTTGAAAATTTTTAATAAAACTCAATTCTAAATAGTCAAAAATTGTTTTAAAATTATTTTTATATTCAATTTTACAAATAAAATAATTCTATTATTTAATAGAAATATTAATAAGTTAAAAATAATCATTTTTTTTAAAAAATAAGAGTTCTCTGTAGGTAATAGTTTATCGACAGTTTTTGCCCCTTCTTTCAAAAAATTTTCTAGGCGTCTAAATTTTAATAGCCAATAAAATTTGAATTCTCTCATTAAGGGGAGAGAGTCTTTTTTCTCTCTTGCTCGTATTATATAATTTTAACGCATTATTATAGAATAATTTGGCTTCTAAATTCTAAAAGTGAAATTTTATTTAAAATGAAATTTTAACTATTTTTTTCTTCTAGAAAATTTCAAAGGAACAACTTTTTTCCTAATAAAAAAATTTATAATTCATCGTTTTTAATTTATTTGCAAAATAATTTTAATTTTAATTTTTGTTTTAATTTTTGTTTTAATTTTAATGAACTGGAAAATTTTAATACTAAATCATGATTATTTAGCTAAATATAAATATTTCTACCCCTAATTTTTTTTTACACAATAATCTTTAAACTATTTTAAAAATAGTAGAATATTTGAAAGTTAAAAAAAAAATTCCATGACCGAGTAATTGTTTAAATAATTTTACATGAAAAATTTATACTCTTAAATTGAAAAAAAAATTTATTGGAAAATTTTTTTGAATTTTAAAACAAATTTTAAAAATTTTAGCTTTTTTTAAAATTAATTTGCTATTTAAAAAATTTATTATTAATAAAAAAAATAATGCTTTGCTATAAAGACCCACTAATTGGAATTTTGTGAAAAATAAAATTTTTCAAAATTAGATAGAGAACCCCCTATATAGCGCAGTAAAGAAAGCATTAGGCTAGTATGCTGAAGGTTCAGTGTTCGATTCTTTATTTCAACAATTTTTTTTTAAATTCTTATCATTATTTTCTATTTTATTTTATGTTTTTTTTTATATTTTATTTCATATTTTATTTTATATTTTCCTATATTTTATTTTCTATTTTATTTTCTATTTTATATTTTTTAATTTATTTACAAATTAAAAAAATGAATTTAAAAAAAATTTCAATTTAAATAATTAAATAAAATATTTTTTTTTTCTACATTTTTATAATCTTTTTTTTTCATTATATTCAGTAATTTTAATTTAAGTGTATTTAGGAATATTTTACAGCTGATAAATTGAAAATCAGCTACATTTAATACACGTGACATGCATGCTTTGTACATAATTTAGTTTACCGCCAATTTTTCCCCTTCTTTCCAAAATTTTTCTGGGCGTCAAAAGTTTAATAGCCAATAATATTTGAATTCTGTAACTAAGGGGAGAGAGAGTCTTTCTTAGCTGGTACAATATAATTTTAACGCATTATTAGAATAATTTTGTTATACTAAAAATAAAATTTTATCTAAAGTCGAATTATTTTATCCAAAATCAATCATTATAAAATATTATTTTGTAATGATTAATTAATGATTAACAAAATAAAAAAATTAATAAAAAAATTATAATAAAAAAAATAAAATTAGTAATAAATAATTCAAGGTTAAATTAATTTTTTTCTTTTTTAATAATTTTTTTTATTTTCATTTATTTTATTATTTGTTTTTTATTCTATTTCTTATTTTATTAATAATTATTAATCACTAATTAATCATTAAAAAGTATATGAATTAATATTCTGATCGACTTAAACTTCTTTTTTAATTTACGAAAACTTGAATTTGAATTTAATGCGAGATAGGATTATATTATACGGAAACTGAGTTAGCCTTTTATTATTATGACAATTGAACTAGCTTCATATTGAACTGAGCTCGAATTGGCATTTTATTATTCTGACAAATGAACGGGAATCTTATCAACGAGAGGCGTCGAAATTTTAACTATTTTTTTTTTTTTTTGTAGAAAATTTTAAGGAGCAAATTTTTTCCTAATAAAAAAATTTATAATTTATCGTTTTCAATTTATTTGCAAAATAATTTTTATTTTTATGAATTGGAAATTTTAATACTAACTAACGATTATTTTGCTAAATATAAATAATTTTTCTACCAAATTTTTACATAATATTTTTTAAACTATTTTAATTAATAAAAAATAAAAATATAATTTTTTTAAGAAATTATTTTTAATTTAAAAAAAAAATTCAATGACGTAATTGTAGTTGAAATAATCTTTCAAAAAAAAATTATACTCTTAAATTTAATTTAAAAAATTTTCGAATTTTAAAACCAATTTTAAAATTTTTAGCTTTTTTAAAATTAATTTGCAATTTAAAAAATTCATTATTAATAAAATAAATAATGCTTTGCTATAATTACCCACTAATTGGAATTCTGTGAAAAATAAAATTTTTCAAAATTAGACAGAGAACCCCCTAAACAGCGCAGTAAAGAAAGCACTAGAGTAGTATCCTGGAGGTACGGTGTTCGATTCTTTATCCCGGCAATTTTTTTTTAATTCTCATCATTATTTTTTTTTTTATATTTTACTTTATTTTATTTTAATTACTAACTTGAAAAATAATTAAAAATTGTTATTATTATGATTTAATTATTTTACTATTTATTATATAAATTAAATATTTAATTAATATAATTTCATTAATAATAAAATAATTTAATAAAAATTAGAACTACTGCAATAAATAAATTTTTTATTTTTATTGATTTCCAATTTCCAATTTATTGAATAATATAAATAAATATCCTATTTGAATTTAAAAGTATAAAAAATGTAAAACTTTATAAATTATTGTATATATTTGTTATTGATTATTTTCTAATTTTAAATTAGTTAATAATATTAATAGTTCTACTTTATATTAAAAAAAATTATTTTTTTTAAATATTATTTTATAGAAAAAGTACAAATTTTTTATAATTTTAACGCATAATTTTGCATAAAAATAAATTTTTCACTGCGCATAATCTAGACATTTTCAACGTCACAGAAAATACTACGCTTTTAATGATAAGAAGTTTGCATAATCCTTTTGAATCTTTCTTTTATAAGAGATATTTTTGTAAATATTCTTTTGAAATTATTTTTAAAATATAGTGAATTGCTTATACCGCAGTTTGATAGAGAAATATTTTTTTAAATATTTTTATTCAAAATTATGTTTCTATTGTTTATTTCTAAAAATATAAATAATTTAGATGATTCGTGAACGTTTAACAACTTAACAAAAATTGCACGTTTCAATTTGTTTTATTAAATTAATAAAATATTTTAAAATTTAATTTTTAGGGTAGAATTCAATTTTTTAGAAATTATTGGAAGTAAATTTATTTATTATGAATGTTGTTTCCAATTTATAAAAACCGATATCAAATTCGTAATCAGCGACCCAAAAAACCGAGTAACATGTTTCAAACGAATTCGATAAATTAAAAAAAATGTCGCTCAAAAGAGAAATACTTTCTCCTTAATGTTATTTATTATTCATCATCAATATAAAACAAACTTTTTTTCAAAACCACTTCCATTTTTCCAATATATCTTCTTTTGTGTCCCCAGTAATCTGAAACAAAAAAAATTAGTAATTAATTTTTACATTTAAAATTTTAATTGTATATTATTAATTGAAAGAAGACACATGAATTAATAAATTACAGTCTCGGAATATTGGATTATTATATTTTCTTTAAAACAATTTAATTGATCTACCATCTTTTAAGAATAATAAGCAGAAAAAGTTAAGAAAATCACACATCTGGTGTAAATCAACTTCAATTTCTCAAAATTGATATAAACTTTTTTCCTAAATGAATAAAATATTTTATTAAAATTTAATTTTTTGGTAGAATTCTATTTCTTGGAAATTATTGAAAATAAATAGATTTATTATATGATGATCGCTATTTCGAATTTTTAAAAACTGATATCAAATTTGTAATCAGCGACCTTAAAAACTCCCGAGTAACAAATTTCGAACGAATTCGATAAATTAAAAAAAAAATCCGCCGTTTTAAATTGTGGAAGACTAATATCGGATTCGAAAGTAGCAACTCTAAAAACCCCCGAGTTGCAAGTTTGAATCGAATTTGATCAATTTTTAATATATAAAAGAGTCTCCCGATATATTTTGCTACTTTCAATAGATCGACAAAAAGTAAATGAAAAATTATCCCGGATTTAAAATTTTTTTAAAATATACCTAATCATCTAACCAACAATCGCCCAAAAGAGAATTAGTTTCTCCTCAGTGTTATTTATTATTATTCATCATTAATATAAAACAAACCTTTTTTTTCAAAACCGCTTCCATTTTTCCAATATATCTTCTTTTGTGTCGCCAGTCATCTGAAACAAAAAAAATTAGTAATTAATTTTTATATTTAAAATTTTAATTATATATTATTAATTGAAAACACTTGAATTAATAAATTAAAGTTTTTAAAAAACTTCTTTTAATATTCAATTATAATTATGGAATGAAATAATGAAGAACGAGACTATAAAGTTGAAAATTATAGTGTGGAAATCTGATATCCCAAGAGTGATATATAGAACCGCATAACCCTCGAATTTCAGATCAGTATAGCTATAATACAGGATGTGAAGAGCGAGTGAGATTCCGTAGTTTTGTGCACGTGTAAAAAAAAGAGCAATTTACGGGAAATTAACCCCGGTTCTTTTCGCGCCACTGATAACGCTTCACTGAAAAAAAGAGGTGTGAGATAAAAAGATTATTGCGGTTTTATATATTGAATTTGATTTTTCATTTTAGTTTAATAATAAGAATTAATACTGTTTTAGATATATATATATGCTTTTAGACGTTCAATATCTATATATATATAAACAAACATTGCTTTATAATTAGTGCGATAAATCAAGTAACTAGTGCATTTTGGATGGTAGTACCATATAATAATTTGATACGACGACCATAAACTGAAATTATCCACTTTAGCGATTTGCTCTCTGCTTGTTAACCAAACAGGGAGGAAAAGCCACGTCTGGCAAAAGGCATTCGTGCATACTAGAGGTCTTTCAAGAGAGATAAATATAGATTTTGGTGAAAGAGAAACAGAGAGAGAGAGAGAGAGTGGAATGTTTTGTTTCAGTAAAGGCAAGCTTTAACTCCATCGCCTAAAACATATCAATTCTCCTGTCAGTTTCAGAAATTCGTATCGTTGTAAATATATTTGTTTTGTTTGTGTGTAAAAGCAACTAATTTCTATTTGTTTTTCATCTCCCAAAAAACCAAGAGGGAAAAAAGAGAGAGAGAGAGTCAAAATGTCAAGAAGAATCATCACAAATCATGAAAATACAATTTCTTCTTGAAATCCCATTTTTCATATGCAAAAAATCCCAAAATGCTTCTAAATTATATTAAAATTTTAACGAATGAAAAGTTTTATCAACAATTTTAACATCGTTTATTAATAAAAAGGTCTTAATAATTAAAAATAAAATTAAAAGTTGGATTAATAATGATTAAGAATTTACTCTCACGATCGTAGAACCTCGAGTATGTACAAGTTGCCTTTTACCAGACCTCTCTGCCCGATTAACAAGTAAAGCCCATCACTAACGTGGCTCTGCGTTTAGCACGAACACCTGTCAGAAAAGTAAGTCAACTGCTGTGCCGACTATTCTATCCTAATGTTTAATGACATTCAAGTTGGATAAGAAAAAGGGGATTTAGTTAATGAATGACGCGCGTGAAATGATTCGACGATCCAATTTAGCTGATGAATCACCCGTAGCACATATTAGATGCTTTTAAATAATCAAAAAACTTGTTTTAATAATTTTTTTAAAAGATGCACAGCATCAGAGAGTGAGGGAACAATTTTTAAAAATGAAATATAATTTTAAAAACCTTTAATATATTTTCTTTGTATTGAAAATTAGGCCTAAGCAGAATTAAATCTTTAATTCTAAAATCTTAAGCTTTTACCATGAGAGAGAAAAGGACAAAAAATATTTCTATTCTTTTCTCTCTCATGTAAAAGCTTAAAATTTACGATTAGAAATTAGGCCTATTTGGATCTGACATTTTGTAGACGTGCCATCTGGTGTTGAAAAATGTAACTAATTTTTGATAGCTGTTTGTATCACTTAGAATCAGGCCTTAGTAATTCTGCGCTGTCATTATTAATTATTTTATCATCATGGATGATGCAACATTTTCACCGCATGAGAAATCTTCTGTCACAGTAACGTAGTGAAAAATTTAAACGTAATTTTTCATAAATTTCCAAAGCCAAAATAACGTGTAGTGAATGTGAAAAAGTAGATCAGTTGAATACCTGGAAAATTGCTGTAAAAATAATCAGTATAAATCCTACTATCAGATTGTGTTGACAGCATTTCAAAAGAAGTGTTTACATATTGTGCGGTAAGTTCAAAATTTGGAGGTTATATAATCTTTCATACACCCCAAATATGTCAACATTTTTCTTAGGTACTTTATCATTATTAAAAGGGTTAAATTAAGTTTTTTTTACTTCTTGTTAACAGACTTTTACAATATATAAAAATTTCTGAAGATAAAAAGAAAAAAATTATCACTTTTTTCTACTTAGAAAATATTCATCGGTTTCAAAATTTAATCTATCGGAATTCATATCATATAAATATATATATTGTTCATTCGGTTTTAATATTATGAATAAATCAAAAACTATAATGGCAAAAGTTGAAAGTTTAAACTTGTATGTGGGTTGTAGGTTAAAATTTCAAGAGACAGAGAATGGCAACATATTTACAAAATACACTTGACTTCTCACGTTAAATGTTAAAATAAGGTCAAATAATTTTCCCCAAAGGCATCTTTTCACTAATGATGCTAAAATAATTATCTTTCAACCAAAATTCATTAATTTATCTGATACAAAATTACGAAACATGATTTTATTCACTAAACTTTATATAGTTAATACAAAAAAATAGAATAACAAAAAATAATTTAATAAAATTTGAAAAAATTTTTTTAGTTTTGCGCAAAGAGGGAAGCAATTATTGAACAACACTCAATGGAAATTTAATTACAGAAACGAGTTGCAGGTGTAGTATAAGGGTAATAAATTCCAAATAGAAACGAGATGTTGGCGTTTATATATATATATATATATATATATATAAATATATAGATGTATAGACGTAAGCTCTCGCAGCAATTGAGCAAAATAACAAGTATCAATGTACATATAGTGAAACCTATTGAGCAACACTCGGTGCCACAAAGCCGTATACCTCCTACTTTGAATCGATCGATACAAACAATCAATTTTCAAAACTTGGTAACTAAGCCAAAGGCGTTCAATTATTGTGCATGTAATTCTCTTGAACAAGATGCAAGGAAAATGTCTTAATAATAATAATAATAATATTGCATCAATATTTTGTATGACGGTTACATAATGCAGCTACTAACAATGATAATGTTACAGATTTTGGTTTACAACAAAATATTATCAATAATTTTTTTTTTTAATTTAAATATAGATAACACAAAATATTTTTAACGATGTTGTGTTATGTAAACTAATTATTTTGCTATAATATTCTAAGAGCAAAATTTAATCCCACCGCTGTCACTAAATCATAATTGCAGCATTTTTTAAAAAAACATTTCTAAATTTGCAATTTTAAACTAATAAGCAATTAAAATAATTTTACTTGACTCGACGGAATAACAGGATGTAGGTGTATATAATATTCTTTTCAATACTTTTTCCTTACGTAAGATGATTTACACCAGGTGAATAACACAAATAGATTTTCTTAACTTTTCCTCCTTCTTATTCTTAAAAGATGGTAGATCAATTAAATTGTTTTAAAGAAAATATAATAATCCAATATTCCGAAACTGTAATTTATTAATTCAAGTGTCTTCTTTCAATTAATAATATACAATTAAAATTTTAAATATAAAAATTAATTACTAATTTTTATTTTTGTTTCAGTTGACTGGCGACACAAAAGAAGATATATTGGAAAAATGAAAGCGGTTTTGAAAAAAAGGTTTGTTTTATATTAATGATGAATAATAATAAGGAGAAACTAATTTTGTTTTGAGCGACTGTAGGTTAGATGATTAGGGATATTTTAAAAATTCGGCATAATTTTTCATTTACTTTTGTAAAAAATTCAAAAAATTAAATTTTAAAATATTTTATTAATTTAGTAAAACAAATTGAAACGTGTACAATTTTTTTTTAAAATAGGGTGCAATCTCGTTTCTAAATAGCCAATTATTTTTCTCCTTTTTTTTGAATATTTTTTTAAATATGTAAATTATCTTTTCGAAATATTTCGTGTACAATTTAACGGTGAATAAATTTTGAGCATTCGTCTCTCATTTGAAGATTTCACGTCATTTTCTAGCATTTGATATATGTATGTATATATATATATATATATATATATATATATATATATACATATAGATATATTCATGTATATCTACATATATATGTATATATACATATATACGTTATTCGATTTTGTCATCTATTTTCCATTCAAACGAAAATGCAAATGTTGTTTACACTCGAGTGTGTATGGATCAGATTGGAAATTTCGTTAAAAAGTCCAATTTGATGCAATCACACAAAGAGTTTGGCGGAGACAGACGATGATTTATCGTCATAAAATTTTAAAAACGAGATTTTTCTTTTTTGGTTGTATTTCTCAGATTTGGTGTGACAATGTTTTTTTTCTGTCCGAAGGGGGTGCGGGTAAAGGGGGTTAAAAATTGGGGCTAACCAGGAAGAGAGAGGAAAGGAAGTTGCAAAAAAAAAGATAGTGTAGAAACAGGATGAAATGAAAAGGATGAGAGGGAAGAATGGGGGGAGGGAGGGAGGGTCGGTTGAACAGGGAGTGAGTTATTTGAAGGAGAAAGGATTGTGTGTGAGGGGTGGTTAAACCGTGCAGACGATTCACGTCGGCTTTAGTCAGCGGCCAGTATTCGTCGCGCGCGCATTTCGTCTGAATCTACGTTGAGCTCTATCATTGAAATCAGGCTTAAATTTTTTTTCTCCTCAAGAAATATGTATTAAAAAAGAAAAAACATTTTCTTTTTTTTTTGATAAATAAAAGAAAAAATAAATTTCCATTTTATGGTGATTTTAATGGAATTAAAATTTTTCGTGAATTTTTTTTTGTATTCAATTCTTAATATTTTACAAAATTAATATTTTCCTATAATTATTAATTCTTAATAAATTAGTTATAATAAGTTTATTTTATAAATGATTAAAGAAATAAAGTAAAATAAATTATTATAAAATAAAAATTTTTTTTTCATTTTTAGAAAAATATTAAACTTTTGAAGTCTTAAATTTTAAAGATAAATAATTAATTTTATTTTTAAATAATGAATCGAATTTAATAAAGTATATTTTTTTTATTGTTAAAATATTTTTTCTTAATATAAAAATAATAATATAAAAAATAACTAAATAAAATAATAATAACTTATTTACAATATACGTAACAATTGTATGAAAAAAAATTTTAATATTTGAAATAAATTATAAAAGAATATAATATAAAAATAATTTGGCATTGAATAAAGAAATTTTTTTTATTAAATTAAAATTTTTTTATACTAAAAAGAAATTTATTTTCAAAGTAAATCTCGCTCAGTATTATAAATATTATGAAAAAATTTATAATATGTTTAAGAAAGAAAAAAAATTTTTTTTTTTGCAAACCGTTTATTCGTTCAGAGAAAAGAGTATATAATACATATATATTTTACTTTTACAAAAGGTTTCGTTTGACTGGTTTTTTTTTTTAAATCGATCTTTGAAAATTGATAGTTCTTTTGTAATATGTGTGATAAAGTTAAAAAGGGACAAAGGCGATCCTTTTAATTAGAGAATTAAAAATGACTTTGACCTGTCCGATTTTTTTTTCTAAAAGTATATAGGAAGAGAGAATGTAAAGTTTCAATTAGTCTCTCTCTCTCTCTCCTTTTTGAAATTATAGGCTTTGAACTTGACAATGTAGACAGTAGCAATTTTCACTAACAAAACGAAAACTTCTTGAAATTTTCACCCACCCATCAATTCTTTTTTTTTTTTTTTTTTTTAATGAAGGTGTCACAATACAATGATAAAAATTAAATTTACCATTTAGAGAAAATAAATTTTCTTTTTAATTTAATTGTGTTTTTTTAAAAATTTTGAAATTTCACTCGCATTTACGAATTTTAACGTTATACATGGTTTCTAATAAAAATTTAAAATTCTGTATTATAAATTTGATTCCATGATTTCACATAGAAATTTTTAATTTTATTATTTATTTATTATTATTATTTAATTTCTTTTTAAAAATTTTTTTTAACCTTTTTTTTGAAAATCCTTTTTTCCCTTTGTTAATGGTTTTGTTTAATAAACTTTAGGAAAACTGATTCAGAGATAGTATGTCGGGAGAGGAGAGGAATCGGAAGTAATTCCTTTGAAGTAATCAGGGAAGTTTAGGACTCGTCTTGATATCTAGGAACTAAACAACTTGTCTTATTTGAAAGACCAAAGTGACACATCTCTCTCTCTCTCTCTCTCTCTTCCTCTCTCGCTTTGTCAATGTCCAGGTTCTCCTTTACTCAAGCTTATCAGAACTCTACACAACTTTTAATGAGCATTGCACGTTCATAAAATATCATTAACGGCTTAATAGTGGGGAAAAATTAAGAAAAAAAAAAAAAAAAACTAAATTGGAAAAAAAATATTTACTGAAAATATTCACTAAAACTACTATTAAATTTTTTTTAAAAACATTTTTAATAATAACAATAATAATTTTATATTTTCACCAGTTTATTATTTAAAATAAAGTAAAATAACATAAAATAAATAATAACTATGTACTAACAATAACAACAATAATACTAACCATATTAACAATAACAACAATAACAAAAATAACAGCAATAATTATAATCATAATAAGAATAACTACAATAATAATAACCATAATAACTGTAACAACAATAATAATAACAATAATAACAAAAACAACAATAATAATAACCATAACAACAATAATAATAACGGTAACAGCAACAATAATTGCCACAATAACAATAATAGTAACCATAATAACAATAATAAAAATAATAATAACAATAAAAAAATAATAATAACAACCATAATAATTATGACAACAATAACAACAATAATAATAACTATAATAAAAATAACAAAAATAATAATAACAATAATAACAGTAACAACAATCATAATAACAATAATAATAATAACAATAACAATAATAAAAATAATAATAACAATTAAAATAACAATAATGACAACCATAATATGAGTAACAACAATAACAATAACAATAACAATAACAATAACAATAACAATAACAATAACAATAACAATAACAATAACAATAACAATAACAATAACAATAACAATAACAATAACAATAACAATAACAATAACAATAACAATAACAATAACAATAACAATAACAATAACAATAACAATAACAATAACAATAACAATAACAATAACAATAACAATAAATAACTCTTATTTTAAATTAATAAAAAAAATAAATGTCAATTTTGAAAAATTTTTGTTTGACTTAACAAAAAAAATAAAATTAATTAGGAAAAATAATTTTTTTTTTAAAAGAAAATAATTTTTTTTTTTTATTTTTCTTTAATCGAGTTTAACTGGCAATGAAATCACTTGGATTTTAATGGTAATCGAATTTGGTTTTGTACAGCGTATAGCAGCATCACCGCAACCATCGCCATCGTCTTGATCGAGAAAGTTTCCTAATAATTTTGACACGTACTTTTTTTTTTTTTTTTCTCCTCCTTCTTCTTTCTGAAGAAGTTTTCAACCGCGAGAAGCTTCTTTAGAAAAACGAATTATCGGACACAGAACCCATTTTGTTCTATAAATCATTCAAAGATAAAAAGTTTGCGCCTGAATTCGAAGAACTAAACTTTTCTAAGCAAAAAAATATATATAAAAAAAAGGCATCTTACTTTAACAAATCAAGTATGATCCACTGTGCCGAAACAAAAAAAAAAAAAAAAAAAAAGGAAAAAAACCAGGTGACGGCAAATATGATAAAAATTCAAGAAAAATAAAAGTAAAAAAAGTAAAATAAATCTTTGATAATTTTTTTAAAAATGATAAATGATCAAAAAACACCTTTTTTTGTGATTAAAATATTAAAAGTTTAGAAATTATTAATAAAAAAAATTATTAAACCATTAAATAAATAAATTTTCGTTTAACAAAAAAAAAATAAATTTAAATAAATTGTAAAAATAATATTTATTTATTTAGAGAAAATTAACGAAGAAAAAACATTCATATAACATAAAAAAAATAATAAATAATAATAATAATAAAATAAAAAATATTAATAAAAACAATTTTTCAAGAAGTCACCATAATTGGGAATATTTTTTAATGTTTTATTAAAATTTTATTAAAATAATTTCAAATATAATTTTTTAATTAATTCATAATAATAATTCTAACGTTTTTAATTATCTTAAAATTAAATTTGAAATATCAAAAAAAAAATCAATTAAACAAATTGAAATGAAAATTAAAAATCCCATAAACACTATAACAAAGAGAATAAATTCTCAAATTTTCAGAGAAAAGTGTACTTAAAATAAAAATGAAAAATCGAACTAAAAAAATGGTGAATTATTAAAATATTCTTTTAATGCAAAAAAAAAAAAAACAATTTTTTTTTTCTAAAAGTAAAAAATTTCGATACGAAAAAAAATGAAAAATCTATTAATATTAGCAAAGACTAATAATATTCTATATCTAAAAAGCCATTAAATTTAATACATGCGAAAAAAAAAATTGTCAAAAAAAAAAAATTTCCCAACAATGAAGGAGAAAAAAAGTGTACCGAGCTTATAAGTAAATGAACAAAAAAAAAAAAAGGAAAATGCTCCACTGATAGAATTTTTTTTTCGATAAGTGTATTGATTCAGCTCATTAATATACACAAAAGAGTGACTAAAAATAGAAAATGCGAAACGTTAAAAAGTGAAAATTAAGTTTAGAAAAAAAAAGAAAAAAAAATAGTAAAAAGGGTGCTCCGTATATGCATATGTGTGTGATGTGATGTGAAAAGTGAATTTGTGCATCGATAATTCTTCTTCTTCGTCTTCTTCCATAGTTTTATTTTTTTTTTTTTTTAGTCGAAAAGAAGCATGACTCTTCATGGTAAGTGGAAGCATTTTTAACAAAATACGTTAAATAATTTTGGCATTGTACAACATGACGGAACTAGGGCAAGGCAAGAGATTTATAACACCCGAGTAGCAAGTTAGAGAGAGAGAGAGAGAGAGAAAGCTAGATAAAAAAAACGGATTCCTGTGCAAAAACTTACTTTTAGATTTTAAAACCTTAAAAAACCGTATAGAGAAAAAAAAATTCTTTGCTTCTTAAAAAAAATTAATGCTTTTTATTTAAGTGATAAGTGAAAAAAACGAAATTTTTATTTTTTCTCTATTTTTTTTTAAATAATCAAAAAAAAAGTGTAGGGAATTTTTCATTTTTATCTTTGAATTTGAAATTTGCTCAGAAAAATTGCCCAATAATAATATAAACGATTTTTTTAATGAAATTGAAATCATTACCATTTAAAAAATCTACTTTATCGACAGTTAAAATAACAGAAATCTACATTACCAACACAAGAATTAAATAACGATACTAGAGACATTTGTGTAGTGTATCAAATTCCTCTTTGTTTAAAATTATTTTTAAAGAGATCTACTTTATCGACTGCTAATAAAGTAGAAATCTACGTTACCGATTGTTGATTATAAAAACTTATACTGTAACAATGTGGAATATTACAGATAGACATGTAGTGTAAATAACAAAGTTGAATGAGGAAAGATGAGTTACTTTAGTTTTTAAAACATATTTGTTATTACCGACTGTTGATAAAGTAGAATTCTAAGTTACCAACTGTCAATAAGGAAATATTTTCTTCTAACGATAAACTCTAATAGGACGTTTAATAAACATAGAAATATCCTGTTACCGACGGTTGATAAAGTAGAAATCTACTTTATCCACTGTAAATTAGTAAATATTTTCTGCTAACAATAAATTCTACTAATAATAGACGTGTAATGAATAACAAGTTGAAAATTTGAAAAATGAATTACATTATTTCCGAAATATGACTTTACCGATCGTTAATAAAGTATAAATCTACTTTATCCACTGTAAATTGGAAAAAATTTTCTGCTAACGATAAATTCTAATAGAAATGGACGTGTAATCAATAAGAAGTTGCTAATTTGGAAAATTTAATTTCAAAAATATTCTTTTACCGACTGTTAATAAAGTAAAAATCTTCCTTATCTACTGTAAATTGGTGAATATTTTCTGCTAACGATAAATTCTAATAGAAATAGTCTTGTAATGAATAACAAGTTGCTAATTTGGAAAATAAATTATTTCATTTTATAAATCCAATTTTACCGACTGTTAATAAAGTAGAAATCTACTTTATCTACTGTAAACTATTAAATATTTTCTGCTAACGATAAATTCTAATAGAAATAGTCTTGTAATGAATAACAAGTTGCAAAATTTGGAAAATAAATTATTTCATTGCATAAATCCAATTTTACCGACTGTTAATTAAATAGAAATCTATATTATATATTGAATTATAATATTATCAAATTCTGTTTTCAAACATTTATTTAAATAGTTAAAGAATGAAATAAACTTAAAAAAAAAATATATAAATTCTGAAAATTGCATGTAGACTGAAAATCGGGTAAAAATATATTTCTTCCCAACAAATTTGATACTAAAAATTATTTTTAAAATTTTGTCACTTTGTTTGTGTCACGTATACATTTGAAGAATTTGTCATAGTGTTTTTTTTTTCTTTTTTTATTTCATTAAGAAAGTGCTTCATCATTTTATAAAATTCCACGTTTTGGTAAAAAAAAAATTTTTTTTTCCTTTTTTCTTTTAAAGGTAGCAGTTTGTATCTGTTGATGTGTTAGGCGGGGGAGGGGGAAAAAATGTTGTTTTTAACATTTTTATTTCTTTTAGTGGTAACTAACCCCTCGGGGGAATGAAAAGCACAAGAAAGATAATGAAAACGGATGTTTGCTTTACGGGAGAGAGAGAGAGAGAGAGAGAGACCCGAAGAAAACAAAGGGGGCAGAAAGCTGAAAACTTTGTGGGGGATTTATTAAAATCAACTATATATATATACGTATATAAGTAAATGATACAATTAGAGTAATTTTATTATTTGAGAATATTAGCGCGTAAGAGCAAAATTTCTCTATCGTGAAGAAAATGGACAGTAATTAAATTCAACAATATAATATAACAAACATACAAGTGAAACAGTTGGAAAATAATGTGAAAATTATTTCATTTTCATATATATATATATATATATATATATATATATATATATGTATATATATATAATTGTTAGTTATTATAAAATTTTTGATGATTAAATATTTTTAACCTACTGAACAGTGAAATATAATTAGGGAAAAAATTTTTTTAAATATTTTATATAGAGATATTTTTAAATGAAAATTTTATTTTTTTTAATGACACTTTTGTTTTTATTTTTTAAATAGTTTTTTTTCTTAATTAAATTTTTTTTTTAAATTTATTTCATTTGTTATTTTTCTATTTAAAAAAAAAATATACTTTTTTACTATTAAATTTTTTTACTAGTGTTTTGAATGAAATTATTTCTATTTAAAATTTTTTTTTAATATTAAATATTCGTTATAGTTTAAAAAAAAAAAATAGAAAAAAAAATTGAAGTGGATTTTTTTTTTTTTTTATTAGAAAATTTAAAGAATCTGAAAGAACGAATCACCAATCAGTGAATTTAAATTCAATTGGGTTTTGAAAAAAATAATAATCTCGCAAGATTCTGAGTTAAATTTCACGTTTTTAAGGAGATCACCATAATAATTTCCTTCTTTTTCATATATATATATATTTTTTTTTTCTTTTTTTTCTCTCTTTTACCTCTCGTTGGCTTCTCTCTCGTTTCTATTCATTTTTTTTTTTTGCTTTTTTTTATTTCCCATTTCGTTTATCTAAAAAAATTTAAATTCCCTGCACGAATATATACAATATTAATAAATGATTTTTTTTCGTTTATAATTTTTTTTTTCTTTTTTTTTTTTTGAAAAAATATTTCTAATAGAACATTTTTTCACTTTTTTTGCTTATAGCTCGTCCAATGGTACTAAACTATAAGTTGAAGGATTTTACTACCTTTAAGGACAAAGAATTCATCTGGCACGTGACTACTAAAAACGAGTGAGACCTGGTAATAAAATAATAGACATATATATATATATAAAAAAAAAAAGATACGAAATTTTTTTTTTCGTTTTCTTTTCTTGATACTGTAAAATACATTCAACTATAGAAAAATTGAATCAAGCTCGGTAAATAAAGATTTCTTATTGGCTTGTTCATTATAAATTTTTGAGTAAATTTTTTTTTAACTTTCTTTACTTAGAGAAAATATTGTAGATATTTTATATATATATATATATATATATATAGTTATCTGTAGAAAGAATTTTCCTTCATTTTTAAATGTTATCTTGGTTCATTTATGAAGTTTAAATATAACAATTTTTTTTAATTTAAATAATTCTTCGAATTTTTTTTGAAATTTAAATTAAAAATTTAATGAAATTTTTATTTTCCCTTCTTTTTTTTAAATTAAAAAGTTTTTTCTATTTTTTTTTCTAAATTGAAAATATATTTTCATCTTTAATAAAATCTTACGATCTATTCTTATCTGGAATTTTACTGCTTTTTTTAGTTATTTTTTTCCTAGTCAAAAAATTTTATTTTTTTTTTTTTTTAATCTAAAATTTAATTTCAATTATTATTCAAAATAAAAAAAAAATAAATGTATAATATTTTCTTGCAAAAATAAATAAAGAAAGAAAAAATTGTGAGAAATTTATGATGGAATAAATTTCCACCTCGTTGACAAGTTTAAAGAGAGAAAAGAAATTATTGCGATTCTATATTTCAAATATGTCATTTATGGCTTTTAAACATATTGCACTTAAAGAAAATCGAAGCTGTATTTATTTTTTTTTTTTTCTGAAAAAAAACGTTTTATTGCCTCTTATTAGATTATTAGAAAATGAGAATTTTAGAAAATGAGAATTTTAATAAAAAAAAAATTATTATATTAAAAATAAATGTAAAAAAAATTTTGCATTTATTTATTTGAAATATAAAATTTATTTAAATTGTTCCAAAGATATTAATTTTTTTTTGAGAATTTAGTTAATGTAACAAATCAGAATTTTTTTCCATTTGCCGTGAAAAATAAATTACCGCAGTTTTTTTTTTTTTTTTTTTTGAAAAAGTATGCATAAAACTTGTCCAAACTAATTTCTTTGAACTTCTACTGAAATATAGTCGACTTGGTAATTACAAAAATAAAATTTCGTCTCTTATTTCCCGAAAGGAAACGAAAACTGATAAGAAAACTTTTGAAAATCTTTTTGAAAAATACTCACAGCTTTTGGTATTTTAAGAATTCTTTATTAAAAAAAGAAAAATAATAAAAAAATAAAAAAAAATATTAAAATGATAATAGTTTCGAAAATATTTTTTTGAAAATGATTTAATAGTTTAGCAAAAAAAAAAAAAAAAGATTTATATAAACATTAATAAAATTTTTTCAAATTTCAATACTTTCTACTTATATGCATTAACACTTAAATGAAAGCCTTTTGAATTTAAATCAATTTTCTTTTTTCTTTTTAATTATATATTGAGACAAAAAAGTACTTTTGCACAGCTTTTATCGAATTCTTTCATCAATTATAGAATGCCAATAAAATATCAGAGTGCAAGATGTGAAACGAATTGGAGATAAAATAGAATTGACTTTAAATGTTTTAAAGTGTCTCACAGGTTTCGCGTTTCCTTTTAAATGATAGGCTAGTCGAAAATCGACAGTTTTTCAAATTGATAAAAAAAAAAGTTCAAAAAAATATGCAACTGAATAGAAATTTTGTTTGAGAAAAAAAAATGTAAATAAACAAAAAAAAAAAATGTAAAGGAAAATCACATTTTTAAATTGAAAAATAATTCTAATTTGGCCAAAGTGGAAACGCCCACATGAGATTTCCAATCATTTGATTCGTTACTCCTTCAAGGTCACGAAACGACCAATCAAAAGTGAGCGCAAATCTCGTGTGAGCCGAGCCTAAAAAATAAAAAAAAAAAAAATACCTAAATTAATTCCACAGACATTTATAATTTTCTCCTTGAGCTGGAAATAATTAAAAAAAAAAAAAATTCCATTTCCCTTCCTAAAAACGGAATATATATTCACACTTGACAAACATTCATGAGGTTCGAGGTTAATTAGATATTCATTGAATTTCCTACAAACGATATATTGGCTTCCTTTATCGAAAACATGGCAAATGAGAATGCAATTAAAATTCCATAAATACAGTTTAATTAAAAAAAAAAAAAAAAAAAAAAATATTAGTAATACATTTCGTTTATCGATTTTATTTTTCCTTTCAATTTATTTGAAAAAAAAATTCTCATATATTTTTTTCTTCATCATTTCAGGTGTTAGCAATGTCGAACATCACGACGACAAGTCGAATTCCCCTCGAGTATTGGAATCGAAGATCAATCGATTTAGCTGATGATATTGAGGACGAGGTTGTTAGAAATAATCGATTTTCCACTGTGACATCATCGACTGATGATTTATCAAATGTTAGCCTATCATCAACAACGACAACATCAGCGGCAGCAGCAACAACAACAACATCAACATTATCGGGAAATGGAAATCTTTTTGAAAATTTAATACCAGCACTTTATGTGACAATATTTCTATTGTCAGTCGTTGGAAATTCTCTTGTTTTAATCACATTGTTTAGAAACAAACGAATGCGAACTGTGACCAATGTCTACCTGTTGAACTTGGTGCGTATGTATATATATATATATATATATATATAGAAGACAACATAAAATATCCACTAGTAAATAATCCCTAGGGATGAATCACGTGTGCTTTTCCCGACAATTCCCTAAAATCCACCACCCTCCCTCTTTTCTTCAACCTTTCGGTTACATACGCGTTTGAACGAGAAAATATTTACTCTCTTTCTCTCTCTCTCTCGCCAACATTCGCGATAAAGATTTACTACACGACCCAGTTCCATTTTCTCAACTTTCACGTATCGCCTACACTATAACTTTTCCCCTTTGGGACGTCATTATTATTTGCATGCATATTTTTTACTCCCACGCGCCGACAAAGAAATGATGGCGAGACACATACACATATATATATATATATATATATAGATATGGGATAATAAAAGAGTTGGTAAGAAAATAAATAAAAAAAAACAAAAAAAAAAAAAAAAATAGTCAAATTGAGTAAGTAGGTATACCAAATTTTATAAAAAAAAAAAAAAACGTTAGAGAAGCATTTTTGGAAGTTTATTTAAAATATAAAAAAGAGAAAAAAAATTAAAAAATAAAAAAAAATTTAAAAAGACACCAAAAATTAAAAAAAGAACTGAAAAAATAGCAGGAAAATAAAAGAATATAAAAAATAATAAAGGAATAAAAAAATAAAAAAATATTTTAAAAAGTACCAAAAAATTGAAAAAAAAAATATTATAGAAATTAAAAAAAAAGGAAAGAAAAAATTAAAAAAGTGCAGAAAAAATTTTTAAAAATGACAAATAATTATAAAAAAATACCAAAGAAAATTTTAAAAAGTACTAAAAATATACAACAAAATACCAAGAAAATTAAAAAACAAAGAAAAAATTTAAAAAAAAAAATAAAAAAATACCAAAGAAAATTTTAAAAAGTACCAAAAAATAAAAAAATAAAATATTATAGAAATTAAAAAAAAGGAAAGAGAAAATATTAAAAAAGACAAAAAAATTTTTTTAAAATTATAAAAAAAAAATACCACAGAAAATAAAAAAATGGACAAAAAATACCACAGAGAATAAAAAAAGTACAAACAAATATCAAGAAAATTAAAAAAAAAAAACAAAGAAAAAAATTTAAAAATAATTTTTAAATAATAAAAAAAAAATACCAAAGAGAATTTAAAAAAGTACAAAAAAAAATTGAAAGATACCATAAAAAGTTTTAGAAAGTTACAAAAACTATAAAAAAAAATTACAGAAAAGTAAAAAAAAGGCCAAAGAAAATTTTAAAAAAGTGCAGAAAAAAATTTTTAAAATGACAAAAAAAATAAAAAAATACCCAAAGGAAAATTTTAAAATGTACTAAAAAAGTACAAAAAAATACTAAAAAAATTAAAAAAAACAAAGAAAAAATTAAAAAATATTTTATAAAAAATAAAAAATTACTAAAGAAAATTTAAAAAAGTACAAAAAATATTGAAAGGTACCATAAAAAGTTTTAGAAAGTTCCAAAAACTATAAAAAAGTACAGAAAATTAAAAAAAGGCAAAAAAAAATTTTTAAAAAGTGCAAAAAAAAAAATTATAAATGACAAAAAATACCCAAAGAAAATTTTAAAAAGTACTAAAAAAATACAAAAAAAATACCAAGAAAATTAAAAAAACAAAGAAAAAATTAAAACATATTTTATAAAAAATAAAAAAATACCAAAGAAAATTTTAAAAAGTACTAACAAATTTTTAAAATTATTAAAATTACAGAAAAAATAAAAAAAAAGTCGAAGTAATTTTAAAAAAGTACAAACAAATTAAAAATTTTTAAAAGTATCAAAAAAATTACTGAAAAGAAAAAAATAAAAAAAACAAAAAAAATTAAAAAAAAATGCCAATGAAAATTAAAGAATAGTACAGAAAAATTAAAAAGAAAAAATTTTAAAAAAAGTACTAAAAAATTTTAAAATGTATAAAAAAATAAAAAAGTTTTTAAAAAGTTCAAAAAAATATATAAAAAGGTACAGAAAATTAAAGAAAAGTGCAGAAAAATTTAAAAACGGTAAAGAAAAATTAAAAAAAAAAATAAAAAAAAGTAACAGAACAAGTAAAAAAAGACAAATAAATTTTTTTAAATTAACAGAACATTGAAACACAGTAAAAAATTAAAATAAAAAACGAAAATTAAAAAAAATCTTGAAATGCTTGCGCAGTTATCAATTACGGTACAAGAAAAAAAAAGAGCTGAAGAAACAGAAGTTTCTATGATGCATGCGTCAACGCAGTTGAAAGACTACTGCAACCGTTTCGATCTTAAGGCCCCCTTTTATAGTAGCTTAGAGCCACGCCCCCTACGGTCCGTTGAGTCTCTTACCATTGACTCTCCGCGTGGAGGTGGGGGAAACAAGTGCAGCGAGAGAACCAATGGGCCTCAGTCACTCTTCATCGTCTAGACACAACACATCATACTTTTCACTATTTGGAATTATTCACGCAGTATTCATTTAACATAATCGCAATACTCGATACCTGGTAATTAAAATTAAATATAAATTATATTACTTTTCGAAAAAATTTTTTTTTAATAATAAATCTTTTTTTAAGAATATTTTTAATTCAAATTATTATGAGCCTCATTATTATTAATTTATTTTCATTTTTGATTTAATTTATTATTAAATATTTTTTTTAAATATAAATTAATAAACAAAAAATTATTTAAAAAAACATAATTAAAAAATTTTTTGTTTTATTAAAAACATTTAATTTTTGTAATTATAAGTAATTCTAACAAAATAAAAAAAAATAAACGTTATCAAAATTAAATTCTATAAAAATGTATAATTTTAAATATTTATTAAATTTTTTTGTTTGCAATTTATTAAAATAATCTTTTTTTATCCGTATTCTAGAAAATTGAATCTATACCATTAGATTTGTCTTTAGTGAAAAATGTTGAGGTTCCTTGTAACTTTGAGAGAGAGAGAGAGTGAAAAAAGTTTCGAGACCCTTGGAAAAAAGGGGGAAGAAAACTTTGGGGAAAGTGTTGAATGAAATTTTCGAACTTGATCTCATTTTCAAATTTAAAATGAAAAAAGTTTCATGAAATTTATAAATAGAGGAAATGGAATATATCGAGAGAAATGGCAAATACAGTGAATTACTTTTTTTTTTCTTTTTAATATGTTTTTGGAAGACAAAACAATTTTTTAATACTACTTTCAAGAAATTTTTTTATTTGACATTAAAGTTGAAAATAGTAATTGGAAAAAAAATATCAATTTACATTTATTTAAAATACTTTTGGTTTTTTTTTTTTTGATTAAAATTAATTTAATAAATTCTCTCGTAATTTTAAAGTTAAAAAAAAAGAAATGTGTATATATAATTTTCAAATTATGTTTTCGACATATACGCAAAATGAAGAATTTAATTTAAATGTCGAAATTTTGTTATTAATTTTCCGAAACAAGAATGTTGATGTTTTCAAATTTATATTAAATTGTAATATTACATGAAATTTTTCCCCCTAGGCTATTGTATTCATGAACTTAGTTTAGATCAGGGAGATTTAATTTCTATAATATGATAAATAAATATTATTTTATAAATTTAACTATTAATTAATACTTGATTGTTAACATTTGGGAAATTTTAGACTGAATTTTAATGTAATTTTTTTTATATTTATATTTTTTTATTATATTTTTTCTATCTTTATATTTTTTATTATTTTTTTATATTTTTATTTTTCTTTATATTTAATTTTTATGTTTTTAATAAAAAAAAAAAACTGTAGCCCCAGCAATGTTCGTAGTCGAGTGTGAAGCGTTAGATCGAAAAAGCCCTATTTATAGTCGTTGCCGGCAGCGCATAGTGGGGAGTCTCTTGTCATTGGCTCTCACCGCGCGGGAGGGGGAAACTAGCGCTGCGTTTCAGCCAATGAGTCTTAGTCACTTTTTTTTTTATACATTTCCAAAGCTTTTTGTTCTTGTAATTCCTAAACGTTTAAAGTAATTTATTTAAATATATTTTTTTAAATTTATTTTTTTAATTTTTATATTATTAAAAATATTTCTCGTGTCAATTTTTTTTAGTGTATGAAAAAACTATTTGAAATGAATATTGGAATTTCATTAATAAATAACTTTAAACAATGTTCAATTGAAATATTCAGAGAATATTTGAGACAAAATATGAAAAGAGAAACATGACAACTATAATGTGTAAAATTCTTTTTCTCGTTTGAGAATATATATATATATATATATTTTTTTTTTGTGGAGTATTTAGTGAAAAATGATTTGCATACCGATAGACATAAATTTACGACCCAAACGTTTTCGGATTATGTGATGAGGAAAAAAATGTGAATTAAAAAACGTAAATGTCACTTTGTATCATAAAAATGAAACATAAAACAAAATAGCCCATAAAAGTAATTGAGGGGAAAAAAATTGTTTTTTTTTTTTTTTTTTTTATTTGTTGTTGATAAATCAAAGTTCAAAAGAATTTCAAATATTCTCATCGTTGTTGTGCGTTTTAATTTAAATGTTTTTTTTATTCATTCTTTATTTGGCTCTAATTAATTTCTAATTAGATTTCCTAGTTGTTTGACATGTATATATATATACTCTCTTGTCGAAGAAAATTTAATTTCACACCAATTGAACACAGTTCCTTCATATCAAAAATTTGTTTAATTAATTTTCAATTAATTTCATTACAAAATTTTCATTCAAAAAAAAAAAAAAAAAAACAACAACAATTTAAAAAAAAATGATAATTAACTTCATGCAAAATTTAATACAAAATTTTTTTGAATTTAATTGAAAAAAAATTGAATTAATAATAATTGAAATTCATTAGTATTAAATAGAAAAGAAATGATTTTATATGAAATAAAATAATTGGGAAATTTTTTTTTTTTGTTAATGGAATATAATATTTAACTGGTAGAATTATTAACGAACCGAGAGTCAATTTTGCTTAGAGATTAAAGCATAGGGGAGATTATATTTGTGATGAAATGAATAAT